AATGAGAATGAAAATTTTAATATGATTCAAACATGGGCTCAATAAGTTATTTTCCCTCCAATTTGGTATATGATATTGTCAGCCCCGTTTGGCCCTCATTATTCTCCATTAAATTATAATTCATTTCTCTCTATCTTCTTATCAACCACACATTTTTCAATAAAATAATAATACACGTATATCCAAAAAATTCCTTCTTTAACCATGCATTCTACAAAAAAATATTATTCCTCTCATTATAATATGAAATAATGAGGGTCAAACAAGAGGGTAATTTATTTTTCTTCGATTGGAAGAAAATCATTTGACAATGGAGAAGGCATGAAATTTTACTAATTAATTTTACTAAATTGTAATAAAGGTCAGCGATGACATAAAATTTTGCTAAAACTTAGCGACCGCGGGATAAGTAGTGTAGTGTGCAGATTAACTAGTGCCTACTCGGTACAAAATACTTCTTGTTGTATTGAACATACGTTGTATGAACGTAATATATTTGATACATAATATTAAACAATTAATTTAAAAAATTAATTTCTGTTTTTTAATACTTTTTTGTTACGTACATTACATAATTACAACTATCTTACATGGAGTGATGAACATGACCCACACATGCATGATGAGCATGCCTATGGTTATTATTTCTTTTCATGATTATGTTAGGAGATATTAGAGTAATCCTAAGCTTCATTTTCATTTTTTTTTATAATAGAAAGCATGGGAGGGGGAAATATTGAATAATATATATATTTTTTTTTGTACCTTGTCTTTCATTTATTTATTTTTAGATGGATTGATTTATCTCAGGCGTTTGTTAAGGTTGTCATTGTCGAATTCTTAGCAAGTATCTTCTCACTTTTCTTGAATTTTACTTTTCAATCTCTTTATCAAATATGCATTTCGAGTTTACTAAGATAATACGGGACAGGGACTGAATCGTGTTAGTTGATCATATATTTCAAATTATAGAGCTTTCAAGTAATAATACTTTTAGGCCGTGTTTGATTGAGTTTTTTTTTCCATAAAAAATATTTTTCATTTTCCCACTTTTGTGCTGTTTGACCGCACAAATTTTCCAAGGAAAATGTTTTCCCTCCCACCCCTCCCCTCACCCATTTTCCACTTTTTGGCTGAAAATATTTTCC